CAGACTGTTCAGCCAAGAGAAGAGAGGGCTTAGGGCAATCTTAAAAATGTCTATAAACACCTGAATGGAAAGCACACAGAGCCAAGCCCTTCTCAGTGTTGCCCAGTGCRATGGGCACAAACTGAAACACAGGAGGCTCCTTCTGAACATCAGGCAACACTTCATTGTGAGGGTGACCCAGCACCAGCCCAGGTGCTGGGTACCCAAAGAGTGGACTCTCTCTCCTTGAAGGCATTCAAAACTCATCTGGATGTGGTCATGGGCCATCAGCTCTACATGAYCCTACCTGAGCTGAGGGGTTTTGGACCAGATGTTCTCCAGGTATCCCTTCCCACCTCAAACATTCTGTGATAAAGACTGAGAAGACATCTTGATCTACTTGTTTGTACTGAATACCTGAAGGCTGTCAACTGATCGTTCACAAYGGACCTCAGTCTAGACAGAAAAGAATAGAGCAAATAAAGATCAGAACTTTAGTGGTTTCACCTTTATTCTTACTTAGCTACAGTTTTCTGATACAATTCTTTTTAGAGGCAAAATGGTTATGTTTGGTCTGTGYCCAAACAATGAAAACACAACAAATTTACATGAAAAAATACTCAGCAAATTAGTCCCAATCACTCTTCATTAGGGGAGAGTGGTGAAAAAAAATACTATTTTACTTTCTCACCACCCCCASCTCTACCTCCAGCAATCCATATTATGTATAAACTTTTTAAATTTTTCATAAGAAAAAAAAGAAATCCCAAGTCTAGTCATGAATTTTCCACATGAACTTCACTAGRCAGGTTTTCACTCAAGAACAGCAAAAAACTGAATGAAGTTTGAAATTTAAAAATTAATTAACTTTATCTACTTMCAAAAATATTTAAGCCACTGGTGTTTATCTGCCTCTCTTATCTCACTCTTTAGTTGTTCCTCACAGTCCGTCAGGGTCCATTCATAATCTTGTGTTACTTTTTACAGAAGKGGGCAGAGCAGGATCATGCTTGTTCTGAGTTTCTACACACTCTAGCCTAACAGGCCCGAAGTTCAGAACTTGAGTTCTGGTGTTCTAATAAGTAGCAGTATGTATAAAAATAATGTTATCGTTATGAGTCTGAAATGGAACATTTAATTTTTCCCTTAAGTTCCTAATGTGTCTTACAAGATCTCCCCTCCAGTAAGCAAAACTGGTATTTGAAGTTTCTATTTTGCAAACTGCCTGTTACAATATATTTGCACACACACATGGAAGTTAAATTAAACAACACTTTGCTAATTAAGCAGAAAAACTCACTTTTTTTTGTCCCCCCCAAAAAAGCCCACTCAAACAGCAAAGCTGAAAGTCTGATTTAAAGAACAGCRATGAATTCACACCTGGCCTTAGACAGAATGTAGATAAATGAGCAAAAGACCTCCTTTTCAGAGAGAGTGAATTCAACCCAGCTGAACAACACATAAGTAACAGGTAACTGATTTCTTCCACACAAGCTCTGAAGATTCTTCTGCATCCCATATATCACATATATGTCTTTATCTTTAAAATATAGAAAAGGGGTGAAAAAAATCAACCCAAAACATAACAAACCACAAAAATTGTGTCAAAAAGCATGATTTTTCATGAACTCCTACCAACATCTGCCATTCCCCCTCTGGAACCTCTGGCACAGACTCATACATGCTCCATACTTTGTACCCGTCATAAATTTCACTTCACAAGGTAGGTAAAACTGGGTCCAGTGTAAAGTGTTAAAGTGGAAGCATGAATTTAAAGTCTTGCTTACACTGCTACGACCTTTGTATTCCTCTAACATCACTGCACAGCTCTCTGGGCCTTTAGTTTTCAGGCTCTTCATCTGATCATCTTCCGTCATTTTGGAAGCTATATATTTGCAGCAAGAAATTGTGGCAAATTTGTCTTTCTGAACTACCAAGAGGTGCTCACAAACAAGCAAGTATCTGGAATAGGTAGTTCTGTGAGTGAGGAACAGGCACAGCACCCATAGGTAGCTGGATTAGGAATGTMCTGTGTCCATACTCTAAGCCTAGGGACAGAAATTAGGCTGGAGATAAAYTGACAGCTCAACTGGGCTAAACAGAAGAAAGCACTAACCCCTWTACTATTCATAACAGTAGAGAAAACATTGCATCTTGCTGGCATGTTATCACTGCTAGCCCATATTCTCAATTATAGCACTCCAATGGTTTACAGACAAATTAGCAAAGCTCTGCTACTTGCAGTGGGGTTTTCTTCTAAGTACCTGATAACTCAGCACTGAAGACTGTTGATGGACCCTACTTCAAAACCTCCTTTCTGTATCACCAAATCCAGCAGTTTCCACAGACTGCATTACCCCCAGCATGACATTAACATGGTTGTTTGTAATACCTGAATTAGGCTCCGTACAAAAGATGAATGAAACAGGACTGCAAATTAACCTACGCTTCAAGACAAGGTATTAGTAATTACACTATTTATAAATGGCACAGCCAAATAGTGGACGGCTTTGTGGAGCAGAGACTATGGCTATTAAGACTTAATGGTGCCAGTACTTTGCTGATCTTGACTAGTGGACCAAATTCTCATGCACCTTTAAGTCATATCAATTCCACTGCTGATCCTGCAATGCTTTCATCCATGTACATCGATACAAGTGACTTAGTCACAAGACCCTGAAACCTCCAGCTTTAAAATGCCATTCCACCCAAGGGCACAGACATCAAGTGTACATGTGAATACACACCAGAACACAGTGTGATGCTTTTTAATTGCATTATCCAGATAGCATACACTGCAAAACCAGCACCCAGATCACTTTGCTTTCAAGTCCAATTAAATTCTGAAGTTCTTCAGGATGTCCCTTATTATGAAGAGCATTGGTCACTGCAACAATTTATGTCATCTCTCAGGAGTGGACACCCCTTCAATACATTTTGTTCCCAGTCCCCAGTTTAGAAGCCCGGGACTGGGAGTCAAATGCTGCTGACTCCATGCCAGTTCTCCATTTGGAAGGAATTCCAGTCAACAAATCACAACTACACTGTGCCAGTCCTATTACCCACCCAGTAGTTTACTGTTAGACCTCTGCAGTTATTTTATGCCTGCCTCTCTCATTAACAGAAACACAACCCACTTGGAAAACCCACCTGTCCTTCCCACAGACTCTGGGCCACACAGCCACAGCTTCTTTTGGGAAGCACCTTTACAGTTCAGTTGCTTCAGACTTAAAAGCACTCAGAAACATAATGCCGAAGGCAGAGGAGTTTAATCTGTTGCTTTAAAATCACTTGGAAGAACCCTCAGATTAAGCTTTGAGAACTCCCACATTAACAATCTCTAAAGAAGTACACAGAAACCAAAGATAATGGTTACCCACAACATTAAATTTTAAGCCTTCTTAGTTTATAGYACTCAAAAGTATAAACAGAAAAAGCAGAAACAGAGCAGGTAATGACTGTGAGAAATATTCCTCCAAAGAGKATAAATATGTACACCTGGTTACCAAAGGTGACTTCATAATTTATTACATACACTAAAAGTAGCCTAACAGGCATTATTACACTCACCTTATCTATGAGGTAGATTTACTATTCAAGGAAGTAAATACATGCAAACACAGTATTTTTGTATGTACACATACTCCTAAGTGTGAGGCAGAAATATCAACAACCTCTAACAGTCCTACTACTTGAAAGTGTGTTGAGGGTTGACAGAGAGAACAGTACACTCCCACATTATATGCGGAGTATACCTATGTAATCCAGTTGTATTTTAGATCATTGTGCTCCATTTGAGAATTTCACTCTCTTTGCCTGACAGGGACACACAGGGAGTTCCTCCAAGCCATCTCTACCACTTAAGACTTTCAGTACAAAGGGGAGAATAACAGGACCAGAAGCCCATTATGGGGSACTTCATCCTAAGGCTACCACTCAAGTATCAAGTATAGGTTCTGTAGCAACAAAGTTGTTCCAGCCTGTTAGGCCTCAGTACCATGGACGGTCTGATCCAGACACCATAACCACAATATCACAGCCTCTAATAGGCTCAGTGAAAAGAAGACAGGGTCCAATGACCCAACTGCATCAAACTGATTCTCAGTGCTGTAACAAAATTGCTCTGAACAATAYGGGGATAAGTTGCATTTCTGCTGCTAAAAGGGACTTCCTTTTTGTGTGTTGCTTGTTTTGTATTTGTTTCTTTTTTCCCCCCATCTATGGACACAGGAGAGACCCCAATGGTAACAGAGCATTATCCAACTCTGAACTTTAATTAAGTAAGAATTATAACCTGGATTTAAAAAAAAATCAATTCAAATGGGAGCTCTTTAAACTTTCATTCACATTTATTTTCCATAACCGGTGCACACCTATCACATGAATCCTCTATAGAACTGCACGGAGACTTAATCCTACTGGTTAACCCAAGAGAAAAATAATTACAGAAAACGCTTCATAATAAAACCATTAAGCCTAAATCTGCGGGATCTCAGCCGGTGGGTGTGTTCATCAGGTTGTTCCAAACCGCACCGATGTCAGCGCACTGCCCGCTTACGCTTCGATGGGATTTGAAGCGGGCCTTTTCCATAGAACGACTTTCCACAGGTCGCTCACCCAGGCCTCCTGACCACTGTCACCCGCGGTCGCAGGATCCTTGCCCGGCCCGGCCCCGGCAGCTCGCACGCCCCGCAGGCACAGTTCTGCGAACACCTCTGCGCACACGGCCGGGTTGAACATCCTTCCAACCCCCGCCAGCCGCGCGCTTCAGCCAGCCAAGTCTCCGCTCCCAATGCTCAAACTCCTTCAGATCCCGGTGGCTCCCCACGCCCCCCGCTCGCCTTTAGCCAGCCGCCCCCGCCGCCCCCGGCGGCCGCTTCGCCTGGGACTTGCTGAGGGCCGGCCGGCCCGCCCGCCGCCAGAGCCCCATGGCGCCAGCCCGCTCCCAGCCCCGCCGCCAGCCCCAGGCCGCCCCCAGAGCTCCCCGGCCCGGCCCGGGACACCGGCCGGCCCAGCCCACCTCACCGGCCCCGCACCCCATTCCGGGCCCCTCTGCCGCCCCCGCCCCGCGCCCTCCAGGGACGCACCTTGAGGCTCCCCCGGAGGGGGCCCTTGCTGTGGCCGGCCAGCGCCGCGGGGGCGCTCCCCAGGCCGCCCTCCTCCTCCTCCTCTTCCTCCTCCACCTCAACCACCACGTCCTCGTCTTCGTCCTCTTCTTCCAGCGCCGCAGCGGAGCCCTCCCGCCGGGGCGGCCTCCAGGCGCTCTCGGGCTTGGGGGGCCGGACCGCGTCCACCTGCGCTGCCGCCGCGCTCAGCCGCCGGCTGCCCATGCTGGAGCGCTTGGCCAAGCGCCGCGCCTGCATGGTGCCTCCACCCGGCCGGCCCGGCCCGGCCGCCTCCCGCCGCGCTCAGCCCCGGCCGCGGGCAGCGGCCCCGCCGAAGTGCCCAAGGGGCGGCGGCGGCGCTCACCGTGGGGCGGCGGTGGGTGTGTGCGGCG